ACCAGCTGAAAACTCTCTTTCTTGTTGGGAGAACTCTCTTCTCAGGCTCAGGACGTCGTCTTTATGTATTCTGTGTTTGGACAGCTTCTCTTTCTGAATGCCCCATAGCTAAGGTTCCAGGACCAGCCTGGATGGCTCTCCCTCTCCACCATGGCAAGACCCCAGTGCCCAACCCACCACCAAGCCTACGCCTCTCTCCATCCCACTCTGGGAACTCCAGGCCAGGGCCATCAGGAGAAGGGGCTCCCTGGAGGCAGCAGGTCGGGAAGCGTTGCCCTGACGCTGGGGCAGAGAGTCTCGCCTCCTTGGGATCATCAATTCGCCCGTGAATCCGTGTAGGAGATTCTGGCTGTCCCCTCCTCCCTACACTGGCTCCTGGCTGCCTCCCCGGGAGTGTGGCCCAGCCTCTCTCTGCCCCAGCACCCTCTGATCAGCATCCCAACCTTGCAGGGTGTCACAAGAATTCCACGGGACGGCACACAGGAAGCGCTTATGGAGCACCAGCCATTGTTAGCAACAGCACTAGCATGGAGAATCTGGATCTCCTTCCCACAAATATTCAAATACATAAAAAAAACTATAAAACTTCTGAGGTCCCACAAACACCCTGGGCAAGCTGATCTCATCTGAAAGAAAAATGGACCTCGTAGTTCTCTGCAGTCTCAGTCACTGAACTGTCTGAGATGCGCCTGCCAGGCAACTGACCATGCCCCCTCCCCGCAAGCAGCAGGCTTCCAACTGTGGGTCAGAGCCCAGCAGTGGGGGTCACCTCGATTCAGTGGGTGGTGACCAGCATTCAGAAGAATGGAACAGAGGATGGGAGGAGAAAAGAAAACATGGCACGTGCTGTCGGTACAGTGAGGACTGTTCTGTGAAACTTTTATTTTGGTCCCATATAAATAAATACATGGGGCTGTGGGTGTGTGCAGGCCTGGGAAGTGGCCATATAAACAACTTCCGGCCTTGACAGCAGTGGGAAGAACATGCCGTGGGTGTTCTAGAGTCAACCGAGCAGAATAGAGGGAGCCGAGGCCTGCCCCAGGTGACAGACAGGGTGGCCCTCTGCACCACGTCTCTCAAGGTGCCTTCCTGTCATTGGGGTGGGGAGGGTCAAACTTTTGGGGGCAGAGAGGACTGGGATCTTCTTCAGACAACGTCTTATGCTGGAGCCCAATTTGCTGGAGCCCACCAAGCCAACTCCTCGTCCAGCCCTGAGGCCCGACCACCTGGCCCAGGGTCTCCAAGAAGACCGAAGCACAGCAATGGGGAAGGAGCCTCAGCCCAGGACAGCCCCCAGCCTGGGGAAAGTGTGCCCACGGCCTCCAGGGAAGGACAACGGGCCCCAGGGCTCAGGGCCCTGTCCCCTACAACGGCCAGAGAAAGCTTTCTAAAGCACTCCTGAGCCCCCGGGACGCCCTTCTCTGTACGGGGGCCACTGCTGGGTGCTGCCCACAGTCAGCCCCAACTCTCCCTCGCCTGAAAACCCCTATCAGGGGGCTGAGCCAGGATAAGCCAGTCATGGTGACCCCCAGGCCACCTCCCTATGTCATGTGTCCCCAGTCTGGCCAGTGAGACCCAAGCTGGGGGCTGACAGAGAGCGAGACGGCCGAAGAGAAGCCCTGCATCCCCCTCCACCCCGCCCTGTCCTTCCTCCAGTTTCCTATGAAGACGTGACCACCGGAGCTGAGGCACCATCTCAGGAGTGTGGGGGCAGCCAGGACGCCACAGAGAAGGCCACCCCGGGCCTGGACATCAGGAGCTCCAGGCAACGGTTGTATTAACCAACCCTGGAATCAGCCCACCTCTGGCAAGCTGCCCCAGAACATTAAACATCCCTGCAGTTGAAGGCACTATCGGGTGGGTTCCCTGCTCCGGGCAGCTGAGGGGGTCCCTGCCGGTCCTGCCACGCTGCCATCTCCTTCCTCAAGCTCTCCAGAGGCCTTGGGGCATGGCCGGCCACTGCCCTCTCCATCCGGTGACCCGCATCTCCTCCAGCTAGCAGCCCCTTCCTCAGCGGAGCCTACCCTGCCCCCAACAAGGTGGGACCCTCTGGTGAGGCAGTCTTCACTGGAATCCCCTCCGTGACCGTGAACGAGTTAGGGCTCCCCACCTGGCTGTGAGTCTCCTCTCCCCGGCCCCTCACTCACAGAGGAGGCGACACGAGGACACCAGAACAGAAGTGGATGACGGGAGGGAGCAGCTCCGGGGAGGAATGCCCCAGGCAGGGCAGGAGCTGAGAGGGTGTGAGGCAGCGCATGCCCAGCCTGCTGAAGACAGGAGCGCATCTCCGTGCTGGGGAAGACGTGCCAGGTGGGCGCAGGCCAGGTGAGCAGTGCAGGCTGCAGGTATCACTTGGGAGTGATCCAAGACTTCACCTCCATTTCACAAGGCTCACGCTGGCAACTGGACAAGGGTGGACGCAGGCAGGTCAGTGCAGCCGGCGATCTGGATACATGACGATGGCCACCACTGGAGCCAAGTGACCACATTCTGGATGCATCTGGAGTGGATGCACTGATGGACCGAAGTCAGGCGTAGGAGGAAGGAGCCCAGGGAGACTCCAGAGACCCCAGGAGACTCCCACATTCTGCCTCCAGGGCTGTCTGTGCTCTCCAGGGTCATCTGTACCACATGGCGGTGACTTGCTGGGGATCAGGTCCACCTTCTCCTCGGAGCTCCAACCGGCACCTCCCGTCTCCACCATCCGAATCCTCTCCTTCCGCCTCAGGCATTCCTCCTCGCAGAGGCAGGGCAAGTGCATCCAGCTGCCCTTCTGCAGGGCCTTGGAGCCGGACTCTCCTCAGCCGGCAGTGCTGGGGGCGGCTGAAGACCAGGCTCCTCCACTGTGCTGGGCTGGCAGCCCCGCAGGTTGACCTTGCTCCATGTGAGTGGCGCTCGCTCGCCAATCGAGGCTGCGATCCTCTCCATGGAGCCCAGGCTGTGCCCCAATGCGCCCCCTCCGCACACCTGCCCTGCCCCGTGGATCCCATGTCCCTCACCAACAGGCCACAGGGAAATGGACTGTGGGAGGACAGGCTGGGCCAAGCCCTGCTGCTCTCCCACCGGACGTCATCTGGGGGTCTCAGGGCAGGAGCCACACTGTCACCTCACAGGAGGCACTGCACATGGGCAGGGCCCGGCAGGGCGGGCCCAGAACAATGGGACACACAGCAGCTTAGAAGCATTCAGGCCACATGGCTCATTAGCTGAATGAAGAGGATGTCACAAGTGACGGCACTGCAGCTGGAGTGGCCAGAGCAGAGATTTCCAACAAATTCCCAGGGGGCAGGAGGGGCTGGGGAGAGCCCGATGGACAAGGAGGACGTGAGAACGCACTTGTACTTTTGAAAGGTTTTACGAGGGGAATGAATTAACAGATGATTTGTAAAATTAACAATTAACTTACTCAAAGGCAAACATCCATTTTGGGGACACTTTAACACAGGCTGGGCGTTAGATGGAACTAAGGAATAACACTTTGTTAGGTGAGGTCAGCATTTTGCAGTTGTTCTTGTTGTATATTAAAGGGTCCTTCTCTGTTAGAGAATTTATGGGTGAAATGATAATGATATAAAGTCTGGGAATTTCTTTAAACACACCAGGGGGGAAAAAAAACCACAATGGGCACAAATGAAGATGACCAGACCAGGAGAGTGCTGCCAATCGCCGAAGCTGGGCCCACGCGGGAGAGAGTCGCCACACTGTTTACTGATGTTTGACGTTTCACAATGAAACAGATTTTAAAGTTGATGTTTAAAAAGGCTAAAAGGCCAAGGAGGCATGATGGAGGAGGAGGGGGGACGCCCAGAGGGTTAACACGGGCAGGGATGGGCGATGGGTCCTCACCACTGAGGCAACGAGGCGCCAAGGGGCTGCACCCAGTGGCTGTGAGCCCTTGGCAAAGCACTCAACCCACGTCTTAGTGTCCTGCTCTGCAACTTGGGCCGCCTCAGGCCTGCCCGCAGAGAGCTTCTCTTCCTTCTCCTTCAGCAGATCTTAGAAATAACCAAGTGGAAGGCGGCTGAGGTGCCTTACAAAATCTACCCCCAACTTCCATCCAGGTCCTCACAACCCTTCTCTTGGACAACGACAGTGTGTTGGCACAGGGGCTGCAAACTCGGTGCCTGTTTTGTAAATAAAGTTTTATTGGCACACGGCCATGCCACCTGTTTCCATACTGCCTGAGGCCGCTCTTGCGTTGCAAGGGCACTCGGCCTGTCAAGCCCCAAACACTTCCCTCCAGCCCTTTTACAGTAGAAACGTCTGCAGACTTCATGCCATCGTGATGCCCACTGTGGAGACACAGCAAAAGCAGCACAAAGGAAAGGCCATCCTTTACTTCTCAGGTGGCCTGTGAAAGCCCTGGGAATGGAGAACGCGGGGGCTAGAGTGGGGTCTGGGCGAGTAAACCTTGGGCCCCTGTGCTCAAAGATGAGTGTTAGTCAACTCAAATAATGCTTTATTATATAAAGCACATCGCCAGTATTTAAAAAAATGAAAGATTTCCCACAAAAACCCAGATACCCAGCTTTCCCCAAAAAATCACACACCCTCCTCTGTAGCCTGTCACTCCCCACACAGTTTGTCCCCAGCCCCAGTGTGCAGGGACCGCCAGCATCTGGGTTTGTCACCATGGTGTCAAGAGTTTCCTTCTTGAGAAAATCACAGGGCCACCTAGAAACAGGGCAGCAGAACGGCCAGAATGCTGGGGGAGTGAGGGGGCCTGGCCAGGAGGGACAGGCAGAAGGGGGTGCCCTCAACATGGACCGTGAGAAGATGGTCCCCAAGGGCCACCAGGGACATAGAGCTGCAAGGAAACCCAGAGACGCTACAGGGGCCCAGGAGGTGGCCTGGCCGAGGCCGAGCCAGGCTAATGGTGCCCAGGGCCCTCTGAAGGAAGGATGGGTGATCCCAGAGCCATGGGAGGGGGAGACAAAGGAAGCTAGGGTCCAGGGAGAGGGCTCAGGGTCCACTGAGAGAACTGCCTGAGGCCAGCTCACCTGGATTCTCATGACTGGCCATCTGCTGGTCCTCGGAATCCAGCGGCCCCGGAGACCAGGCCTCTTCCCGAAGCTCCATGTCTGGGTCCCTGTTAGAAGGGGACAAGACAGAAAGACAGAGTTTACAGGATGCCAGACTGGATGGAGGGCGGGCACCATGTGGGCTCCAATCGGCGCTGGAGCTCTGAGCACCCGGCACAGCCCTGGCAGAGAGAAGGCACGCGGCAACAGGTCCCTGAGGGATGACAGAGAAGTGGCCCTCTTCTCCCCACTGGACAAGGGACTGGCCCAAGGCCACACACGACCTTGGGGAGGAGAACGCACACAGGCTGCAGCCACCGGCTGGTGCTCGTGTCCCAGCTCCACCACTTACCAGCTGGGGCCCGGGTGAGACCCACCTCCGTGCCTCAGTTTCCTCTCCAGTAAGATGGAGGACGACAACAGCACCTGCAGATGTGCCATGAAGCTTCCACGAGATGAAGCACAGATGAAGCTCTCACTCCAGAGCGAAGGAACCCTAAATCCACATCCCTGCGTCAGTGCCCTGGGAGCCAGGCCCCAACAGGGCCCGCCCCGCCAATCACAGGGTGGGCCAGGCCTCTCATGGCATCCCACAACACCACGAACCCACAGCCGATGCAGGCACACAAGTCATCTAAGGAGTTCACATTCTGAGGGCTCTTTTCAAATGTGCTCGAGTCAAGCCAGACTCCACATTGGGGCCCTGGGAAAGGAAGGTAGCTGGCCCTCCAGGCCACCTGCACTCAGATGTTTGGGGATGGAGGGAACAGGGGCCACCTGCCAGGGGTCAAGGAACGGCAGGGCCAGGTAGAGCACAGAGACTGTCCATTCTGCTTTCCCTGGTCCCTGACCCCCTCCTGTCTGTCTCTGTCTCCCTGGATTTGCCGGTTCTGGACATTTCACATAATGGCAATTGCACAGCACATGGTCTTTCGTGTCTGGCTTCTTTCACTCATATCATGTTTTCAAGGTTCATCACAATGTAGCATGTGTCAGAATTCCCTTCCCTTCCATGGCTATGTAAGATTCCACCATGTGGGTGGCCCACATTTGGTTTATCTGTTTGTCAGTTGATGGCCATCCGAGTTGTTTCCACTTCAGGGCTACGATGCGTGAGGCTGCTAGGAACAGCTGAGTACGTGTACTTGTGTGAATAATGTTTTCAATTCTCTTGGAGTGGAACTGCTCCAGAGCCCACCCTTAACCCCACGCGAGTGTGCCGTGCTGGGGAGAAAACCTCCCCTTCCCAAGCCCCCGACCCCTGACCGGCCTCAAGGGTCAGGCTCTCGTCTACTTCCCGCCGCCGCCAGGGGGCAGGCCATGTGGCAGGGCCCGGCCCCTGGGACAGACGGCCCAGCAGCCCTCTTCCCCCAGACTCAGCCTCTGCATGGTAGGCAGCCCAGGAGCTGCAGGCCTGGCCTCCAGGATGCACAGAGGAGAGGAGTTGGGTAGGGCTCTGCCCTGTGTCTTGGACTCAGTGCAGGAGGGGAGACAGGCAGGTGCCCAGCCCCAGGCGGGCTCCTCAGCTCATTCTCACCAGAGCCTGGCGCTGGGGGCACAGGCGTTCTGGTCCCTCTGGGCCTATTCCTAGGTGAACCATCACTCCTCGGCAGGAAGTCTGCAGGTGAGCAGGACTTCTGATAGAATCAGCGTGGCGTCCCAGACACAACAGACTGGGACTTGAAGGGGCCTTCGTCCTCTCGTGCTGCTCAGCCCCCTTCAGGCTCCAAACCAAGGCCACTTGGCCCTTAAGTTGAATGCACGCAGTTCAGAGAAAATCTCGCCCCAGAGTCCTTCCACCTCCCATACCACATGCGGGAACCTCGCCACAGGTCTGCACCCGCAGCTCAGCATGCAGAAGGGTGGCCATCCACCCGCCAAAGCATCACACACCTGGGTGCAACATGCCGGACCCTCTTCTCCTGAATCCGACCAGTGACAAGGGGCTTACCACTATACAGGCACCAAAGGGAGCCACGCCGCTGCCCCTCAGTAACCTCTGCTAACGTCTGCCTGGAACTCAGAGAACCTGCCTGTTCAGTTACGTAAACAAACATTCCCAGAGGTGCCATGTCGTTCACTCAGGCGACACACAGACACGCCATTTCACAGGTTCCAGGCACTGGTCTAGGTGGTTAACAAGCCAAGAACTCACTCAATTCCACCACTGCCCTCTGGGTGGTATTACTGTCGCCCCCATTGTGCAGATGACGAAACTGAGGCAGGAGTGCAGAGCTGAGATCTGAAAGCAGATCGTCGCAGCTTCAAGTCGCTGCCCAGAACCCACACAGCAGCGGCCTGGTGCCCCAACCCGGCCCACCCCAGGGGGAGCCCCTCTCCAACGTACGCAGACCACAGCTACCCACAGGCCCGGTCCCCCCACGGTGCTCATTTACCGCGTCCTGCGAAACCAGGGACGTGGCAGTGACAGGGGAGCCCAGCCCTGCCGTGGAGCCCGCAGACTGGCAGGCGAGCCCGGCGATCGCTCATGTGGCAGCGTCTCCAGTGCCCAGGGCGAGCTGGCCTGAACCCGGCTCCAGCCTTCTAGCTGCCAGGCCCGGCCCGGCGCTGACCCGCACCCACGGGCTCTGTGCGACTACCTCCCCTACCTCCCACAGAGAGGTAAAGCCACCGAGGGGCAGGGACAAGGACACAGGCAGTGTGGTTGCAGAGTCCTTGCTCTCACTGCTCTGCCATCTGGACACTCAACAAATCGTCACTGGGACCCCGTGACAGAGCAGGCGCCCATCAAAGGGCATGATGAGCCTGTCTGCTGGGATAGGAGGGGAGGGAAGGGGCACCTCCTGCAGGAAGCCTGCCAGGGCCTGGGCGCCACCTCTGAGCGGGGCTGCGCAAGCGCCCCCGGGACCCCAGGGAGGGGAAGTGGGCATGGCAGGAGTGAACAGGCCATTGTGAGGGAGGCGAGTAAGGCGGATGCTGAGTGAGGGGAGGGGAGGTGGCTGCCCCGGAGGTGGTGCTGGGATCCAGATGGGCAGGTGAGGGAGGGCTACAAGCAGGCCTGGTGGGAAGGAAGCAGTGGACGGAGGTGAGGCTAGCAGCCAAGTGGACAAGCTCTGGTCGGAGTCCCCTGGGGCGGCCCCGTCGGCCCCACACCGAGATCCAAGCCTCCTCAGAGCCGGTCAGCGCAGGGCCTGCCCTCAGGAGCCAGACCAGGCCAGGCAGCTCCTGGGCCGTCACTCCCAGCCCTGCCAGCATCCATGTGAGTGATCACAGCCGGATGGGGAGCTGACGTGGGGTCGACACCCAGGCTCAGTGAGGAAAAGGCCCAGAGGGCTTCCCTGGGCTGTTTCTCGCTCCCAGCACAGCCTCAGAGCTGCACCAGCTGCTTTGGGTCTCACTGACCTAAGCTTCTCCCTGTGACACGGGAGCGGCGGGGACTGGCCTGACGGATCAGAGGCTCCAGATCCACGGCCTGCCCCACCTGCTCTCTGACCGGATCTTTATCGCAACATAATGGACAGTAAGGCAGGAACATTAGTTTCACAGGGGCTGGCAAGGGGCACTGCGCTCAGCGAAGGTGATGTAACCCTTTACTCCCCACCTCTCCCTGTCACTCCCACCCCCACGGGCACAGGGGTCTCCCCAAGGGCCAGGCGTTGCTGAGACTGGAGAACATCGTGGTGATGAGGCACAGCCCCCAGCTGGTGGGAGGTCCCTGGCAGTGAAGAGGGAGACAACACACAAGCACATGAATGAAAAAGGTGCTTTCAGACAGTGGGAGTGCCGTGAAGACACACACGGGGAGGGACGGACAGCTCCCTCAGGGAGGCCTGGGGAGGATCTCCAAGCAGGAGGCACCACAGGAGGGGCCTGGATGAGAAGCCTGGAGGGGAGGGATGCAGGCAGGCCGGGCCAGGCACAGCGCAGACAGCGGGGAGAGGCTGGAGACGCAGGAGTGGGCAGACCCTCCCGCAGGGCCACAGGCCAGGCGGAGGACTGTGGAGTCATTTGACATGCAGCAAGCAGTCCCTTTGAGGGAGGCCCCATCACAGATGTAGAAACTGGGGCTCACAGACACAGGTGTGGCACGTCCTGGGGGTCTCTTGCAGCAACGGCAAGGAGCACTAGGACAGCAGCAATGACAGCAGAGCAGAATGGACTCCACGCGGCAATGCTGGGCTCAAGGCAGTGGCGACTCCCGGGAAACCAGCATCAGGACACGGACGGGACTGACCAAACCCCACTGAAGGCCCACTGCCGCCCTGCCTCCCCGCCCAGACCACAGCCTCTCTGCCAACCGAGGACCCATGGAGGGAGGGATGTACCGTGCCTGCAGCCATCTTCCTCCCAGTCTGCTGGAGGGTCACCTCCTCAGAGGCCTCCTCACACCAGATCTACCCTCCCAGGTCCCCATGATGTCGCACCCTGCCCTAAGCCCGCTGGGGGCCCAGCTCTCTAAGAGCGCCAGGCACCGACAGGTGCTGAGAACAGGTGGGTGAAGCACGGATGAACAGGTCTGAATGAAACGGAGACTCGAGAGACAGAACGCGATGTACCCAAACTCTGTCCCCCTGGCCCAGCCCACCACGTGGGACCCACTTCAGGACGCAGTGAGAACCACACAGGAAGGGCCCCCGCGAGCCCCCCAACACCCAGAGGGCCAAGAGCCGGTGCAGCGGTTCGGGTAACACCGCACAGTCCTGGTTCTGCGGGCACCACCCAGCACGATGGCATGAGAGCCAAGGACAAGCGCGTGCAGCCCCAGACCGGGGAACCCCGCTTCCCCAGACAGTGGTCTGAGGGGAAAACCCAAACCTCGTAAAATGCTTCTTGCAGGAAAAAAGAGTTCATCACAGCACGATTCAGAGCAGGGGAAGAACTGAAGAGAACCCATCGGCCCCACTGGAGGACAGTGTGTGAACCACGTGGGAAGGGGTCCACGGGTGTCACACGGCCTCAGAAACAGCAGTCATGATGCTGTGGACAGTGGCCACCCATGCTGATAACAGGAAGAGTGACTTTAAGTTTCTTCCTTTTGTTTATCTTCATTTTCCCAGTTTTTTTTTTTTTACATTAATGGATAATTACTTCTGCAATGAGAGAAAAAAGTTGACCTTTCTTGGATGTCCATAAGAACTAGGTGTCACAGTGGGTGAACTCACTGGGTGGTAAGTGGGCGAAGCAGGATACAGAGGTGTACGGGCCCTCAGATTACACCCACAACACGCAAACCGCAGGAGGAGAACCTCACACATGGCTGGCAGGCACTGAAAACAGCGCAGCCGCAGTCAGTTCCTCAAATGACAGAGCCACCCTACAGTCCAGTGATTCCAGTCCCAGGTACACCAAGAGAAACAAAACACAGGGCTCCGCAGACCTGTACACAGACATTCATAGCACCCTTACTCACAGCAGCCAAAGGCCCGGTGGAAGAAGCCAGTCACAAAGCACCACCCAGCACAAGCCCACCGATCTGAACCGTCTGGGACAGAGATAAGCAGCTGCCAGGCTGGGGTGGGGGGGAATGCCAATGGG